AAGAAAATGCAAGGCTCTTTTTAAGTGAAGCAAGCTCTAGCTTACATCTTGGCTTAACTTAAAGATGTGGATGAACAAACGATTGGGGTCATATTAGAAATATTAAGAAATAAAAAGGTTAGAGACTGCATTGGATTTCTATTAGATATTGAGAATTAGAGACAATCAGAAGGATAAATTTTACAACAAGTTGGGAATTTCACTCCAGCTGATTCAGAATAGAAATTATCTGTTTTTGGAAATGACATCAAATTAATTACAGAAGTATTCAAAAAATTAACCGATCATGACTTCAATTACAAAGACTTTTCCACTGAAGAACGTGAAGAATCAACACTAAGTCTAATTTAAAGCATCAAGGATAATAGAAGGATCATTAAATTTTTGTAATTTTTAGTTCAACTCACATCCATAGATGAAACTTTTATACAATGTGGGTCTAATTCATTATATTTATTAATTTGGATGAAGGTAGACCTCAGAAGCAAAAATTTTGAAAATATTAAGATCTAAAATACCTCTTTGGTGGGGGCTAATTTTTGTAGGTGTAATTTTAGTGGATCCTAATTTAATAATGTAAATATAAATGGAATGAATTTAAATGGAGCATTATTATTCAATTGTAAATGGAACAACTTAAAAATCCATTAAATAAATTAATACAATGGGCATAAAAGTTCAGTCTCCTCAGTTTGTTTTTCTCCTGATGGTACTATGTTAGCATCTGGAAGTGGCAATAGTTATAGCGATAACTGTATTCGTTTATGGAATGTTAAAACAGGATAATAAAAAGCAAAATTAGATGGCCATACTAATTGTGTTTTGTCAGTCTGTTTCTCTCCTGATGGGAATGCATTAGCTTCTTGTAGTAGAGATAAGTCAATCCGTTTATGGGATGTTAAAACAAGAAAAAAAATTGCCATAATAGATGGTCATACTAGTATTGCCAATTAAGTGTGTTTTTCTCCTGATGGTAATACATTAGCATCTGGTAGTGATGATAACTCTATCCGTTTGTGGGATGTAAAAACACAATAATAAAAAGCCTAATTAGATGGTCATACTAGCGATGTTAGTTCAATCAGTATTTCTCCTGATGGAAATACATTAGCATCCGGTGGCTTTAGATAAATTCGTTTATGGGATATAAAAACAGGGTAATAAAAATCGTAATTATATTGCTATAATGGCATTGTCTTATCAATCTGTTTCTCTCCTGATGGAAATACATTAGCATCTTGTGGCGTTAGTCGTTATGGAAATGGTGATATGGATATACGTTTATGGGATGTCAAAACAGGCTAATAAAAAGCCTAATTAGATGGTCGTACTAGCAAAGTCTGCTCAGTTTGTATTTCTCCCGATGGAAATACATTAGCATCTGGTGGTAATAGAGAAATTTGGCTATGGGATATAAAAACAGGATAATAAAAAGCCAGATTATATGGTCATTCTAGTACTGTCTATTAAGTCTGTTTCTCTCCTGATGGTAATAAATTAGCATCTAGTAGTAATGATAAATCTATCCGTTTATGGGATGTCAAAACAAACTATTAAACAACCGAATTAGATGGTCATACTAACGAAGTCTACTCAGTTTTTTTCTCACCTGATGGAAATACATTAGCTTCATGTAGTTGCGATAAGTCTATTCGTCTTTGGGATGTCAAAACAGGATAATAAAAAGCCAAATTAAATGGTCATACTAGTTTTGTCTACTCAGTGTGTATCTCACCTGATGGAAATACATTAGCTTCATGTAGTTGCGATAAGTCTATTCGTCTTTGGGATGTCAAAACAGGATAATAAAAAGCTAAATTAGATGGTCATACTGGTAATGTCTACTCAGTTTGTTTCTCTCATGATGGTAATACATTAGCTTCTGGTAGTGATGATAAGTCTATCCGTTTATGGGATGTCAAAACAGGATAATAAAAAGCCAAATTAGATGGTCATACTCATTTTGTCTACTCAGTCTGTTTCTCTCTTGATGGAAATACATTAGCTTCTGGTAGTAGTGATTAGTATATCCGTCTATGGGATGTCAAAACAGGATAATAAAAAGCCAAATTAGATGGTCATGAGCATTATGTTAGATCAATCTGTTTCTCTCCTGATGGAAATACATTAGCTTCTGGTAGTGATGATAAGTCTATCCGTTTATGGGATGTCAAAACAGGATAATAAAAAGCCAAATTAGATGGTCATACTCATTCAGTCTACTCAGTCTGCTTCTCTCCTGATGGAAATACATTAGCTTCTGGTAGTAGTGATTGTTCTATCCGTCTCTGGGATGTCAAAACAGGATAATAAAAAGCCAAATTAGATGGTCATACTGGTAATGTCTACTCAGTCTGTTTCTCTCCTGATGGTAATACATTAGCTTCTGGTAGTAGTGATTGTTCTATCCGTCTATGGGATGGAAAGACAGAATAAGAAATCAAATTCTCTGATAAAAACTACAATGATATTCTAGCTTAATTTAAAGCACCTCTTTTTTAGAATAATCCTCTACCATGTATTTATTATATTATTGCTATTTAGTCTCTAATTATTCAATTCTTGTAATATCACAAGAAATAATATTGGAAGCATCAGGTACACTTATCTTCTAAGGAGAATTTATCAACCATCAAGGAAAAGATTTAAAACATTTATTTAAATCTAAAGGAAGTTGCTTTTTAGAAGACTTAAAGCAAAAATGAATTTGATAATTTATCATACAACAATTATATTACAATCAATATCTAATATTTTTTTTAAATACTGTCTTTATTAGTTTCACTCTTCATCTTCACTTGTAAAGCTAGGTAAGTTCTTATTTAACAAATTTTTTTTCCATTTCAGTTATTTATACACTTCATTAATTTTTATATTATTCAAATATAAGATCAATTTAGTGTTGGGATTATTTATTTAAATATCATAAAAAATGTTATCAATTTTGCTTAATAGAGATTTAAATTTAAATGATACTACTTTTAATTAATAATCTAAACAGAGAAAAGTAAGCAAAATGAAGAGATTAAAATAAAGATTGATATAATTACTTAAAGAAAACTTAATTAACACAACATTCTTTTATAAAACATCTCCGATATTATTTGATAGATTTACTTAATTTATTACTATTTACAAAAGAGATTAGTCTTAACAACATAATTAATAATTTTATAATATTAATTCATAACTAGTAAAAGATATTTTATAAAACAAAAGAAAGAAAAAAGATACATCAAGAATATATTAAAAAATAAAAGTTAATCTTAGAAATAATTTATACTTTAATAAAGTTAAAACAATTAGATTTGATGATTTTTTCATATTGAAATTAACATATCAATCACTGTTATTATTATTCTTAAATTGATATGAAAAGTATTAGATGTTATAAAAGACTGAAAAGATTAACTAATCATCAAGAAATACAATATCATTGAAAGGATTAAGATTTATGGAGATATCTCCTCACTAACTTGAATTTTTACATTGATCAAATAATTAAAATTTATAAATCACTGAGATTATGTACACAGCTTTTTTAAGAGTTAGAATTATATAATCATTTTTAACTTCAAAAGGATTTTCACGAAATTAATTAATATTTAAACCAAAAATAATATCCCTTAAGATTTTAAACAGCATCGACTGGTTAAATTTTACAATTAAATTAATAATTTATCCATCATTTTAATAAATAAATAGCAATAAAGTAAACCATGCATATTCACAATATTTTATCTTAAAATAACGAAATTGTTCATGTCTATAAAAATGATATTAAGCCCTCACCAAAATTAAATTAATTGGGTAAAAAAATTTTAGAACTAACTTAATATATTAAAATTACAAAATTAATTATATAAATCATCGACCACACGCTAATGCTTGTGAATATATACTTATATTACAAAATAATTATTCACTAATATACAATTTTTTAATTATAAATTTAAGAATTAAGGTTTATTAAAATGTTAAAAAATACAGGATTTAACTTTACATGTGGTTAGAAAATATAATTTTTTATATATTAATCCAAATTTGTAAAATCTTACAATATACAAAGGGAAAGTCCATTTCCATTACAAATTTTCTCCTTCTACTTCTGATTATTCATCGTCCAATTTGTACCTTGCTACTCTTCTTTATAACCTCCATTGGCAAAGAGGTTCTAGCTACCCCCTATCTACCCCTGCTTCCTATATAAAAGAAGGTATATTTTTACCTCGTTACGCTGGCATCATCCCACGCCCTCCTCAGCAGGAGCCTATGGTCCCTTGGCTTCGGCGTCGTTTGTGGAGTAGCCCCAAATGATGCAGAAAAAAATATTTTGTTATTATTAGGTTATGTTTTTTACTTTCTAAGAGGATAAGAGATAAGGGTTTATAATTTTGAAACTCTCTATTTTTTCCTTGAAGAATACCCTAAACTTAAACCTCAAACATTTAATTGCAGAATTAACAAGAATATTAATAATTTGAAAATAATTTACTTTTTGGATAATTAAATCAATATGTTAATTTTAATGAAAATAATACCCATTTTTTTTCTAATAAGATCTATCAAGTAATTTATTTCAAAATAAACTAGTCCATCATTAAAATAATACTAAATTAACTTATAATTAATTAAGGATACAATTAATAATCAATAATTGAGCTATTTAGATTTAAGAAGCTGGTAGGATAATCTTCTTACATGATAATAGCATTTTTCCAAAAAAGAACATATTATGATAGCATACCCAAAAAGAGTTATAATTAAGGGATCAATTTATCTAATGAGATGGATCTATAATATACCTTTTTGTTTAACTTTAGGGATACTAATAACATTCCTTTTATGAAGTCTATGAAACTGAATTAGATTCACTTATCTTGGCTTAATTAAATTAGATTTTTTAAATTCTCTAAAATTTTCGATAAGGTACTATTGTTTCTGACTCTAATGAGTATGGCACTTGGGCAAATATTTAACTAAGAAAATAAGTTGAAATAAAGAACCAAATATGGTATTAGAAATAAATTAAAATAGAGAGAGAGTAAATTTAAGAAAAATAAAGTAATATTAAATCCAATTCTGTCATGAATGTTGAATAAACTTAGAGTTAACTTTTTACTTAGCCTATATTATTCCTTTGTAGAAATAGGCTGCCTAGTAATAATAACATTCTTAAATTTTGTGTTTTCCTACTAAAAGAAATGTAGGATGCTTAGGATTAAGACTTCTCTGCTCTTCAACATTATAAAGTCACTGATTTCTATTTTAAGCCCTGTTTGATTAATTAATGCAGAGTTTAGAATGTTGGTTAATTTAATTTATAGATCTAGGATTTTGCCTCTGACTATAAACAAATTAAAGGAAACCTTATGATGATAAGGTAAAAAAAATATCCTTAGGAAATAAATCCTAAAAGATTTTTTAACTGTAGAAAATTTCGTTCTGGTTTGAAACTAAAGTGCTCATTCTAGTAGAACCAATTATTCTTATGTCCTTGATGCCTTATATCAAGGATCATAATTAGGTAAATGGGAAACTATTCTAGAAATAAAATTTTTTTTGAAAATTTGAATTGAGATCAACAGACTAAATAGAATCTAGTTTTGCAAAATGGATGCCAAAGATCTTGGATTAGCCATTTTATAAAACCCTCTTATCAGATAGGGAATTGAATTAAACCTAATTCGTCAAGAACTAAATGATCAATAATTTGTAATTAATATTTGATGATAAATAATTTTTTTCAAAAAAGAATTCATTTAGAATTCAACACACAAACATTTAAACAAAAATGATATTCTAATATTTTAGCTTCTCTTATAAAGCATATAAATTTAAGCTATTTTTTAATATTTTTTTTGGGAAGTCTCATTTTAAGAAATAAATTAATAGGTCAAGGGATTGGAAACTATTCATATGGTGTTAAGGATCAAAAATTATTATCTACTTGAGCTCGGGTTATCTATCATTGCTTGTGACTATTTATTAAACATTGCACTAGGAAATATTTTAGGATGAGAAGATCAAGTCAAAATTGTACAATTTTTCAAAAAGCAAGCAATATTTAATTAAGAAACTAACTAGACAAAGTCTATAAATCAAGAAATATTGTCCTAGGAATCACTGCAGAAAAGTTACTGGAGAAGATATTTCTAATCAATGTTCTCGATACCTGGATGAGGATTAGTCTATTTTCAAAACATATTTTGACATTGAAAATATTTTTGGGGTAAAAGATTATTTGACTTAGAATTTTATTCATTATTTCTAGTTAATTAATTTTTTTATATTGAACTTTTGGCATTGAAATTTTTTAAAAGAGCACAAGTATCAATTTAAGATAAAAAATCACATGAATTAGATCATATAAAATAAAAATGATAAAATAAGAAAATGAATCTGAGAAAGAGAGCAGAAAATTAGATTACTCTCAATGAAACTTACTATCCGAATTTAAAAAAAGAATTTACAATGTTTAAGATGCAGCAATATTTAGAAAAAACCAAAAGCTTTTTTTTAATTTGATTATTGGCTTATAGCACATATTGAAAGCATGGCCATTAATTTGATAATTACTCACTCTTCATATAAATTGATAAGAAATGCGCATGACATATATTGAATGTGAAAAAGTTCATTTTTTATATTAAATATAATAAATGGTGAACTGTCTTTACCTTAGTTAATTTAATATAATACTTTCATTAAAAAATAAAAAGAAAGATATCTTTTAAATAAGATAAAGGCGAAATCATGATTTTGAAATTGATGAGTTTTTACAAATTGTTTTGAATTTGAAAAAATTCACCAGTATATTAAATAATATTGAAAAATAATTGAAGTGACAACTAAGCTGAACAAGAAAAGGTGATGCTTGTTTAGTGATCTCCAAGATAAATAACAATGAACTGCGGCAGATAAGGCAGTGATTTCGAATAATTCAAGGTAGCATCTCAGTTATACTAATTGGTTCAAACAAATCCTTGGTTTCAAAATAAAGATTAAAAGTAATGGCTTTAATAGAATGAATTACCAAAAATTTATCTAAATTGAATCTATAAATTACAAAGGTAAGCAAAGAACTAATAATTGTCATCTTTTTCTAACTCTTTAGAAATATAGTGAAATATTTTTTTATTTCTCTCAAATAATTATTGGCTACTAAAAAATATTAATGTTTTAAGTTTTAGCACATGATTTTAATAAATATTCATTATTTTATTCCTCAATTAAAAAATGATTCACTTCAAAGAAATACTTAAGAATTAATCCTTATAAATTTGTCATAACTGATGATATTCCATTATTGAAATAAAATTATTGAACTCCAGTATTTACTGCTAAAAAAATTAATTTATTTATTATAGGCTTGTGAATTATAATTATTTAAGAAATAAAATTTAATATCATTTTAATCCAAATAATTTGTATAAGTATACTATTAAATTTTGATATTAATTTTAAAGTTATTGTTTTTTGATGGAAAGCCTCTTTTTCTAATTGAAAAAGACCCTATATTTATTTAAATTATTTTTCGAAACAGTCAATTTTAGTAAAAAATAAGTATGAAATCTAATTTTTCTTAATTAATATATCTATGTTTCTAATAAAATGACATATATCAGACGTATTCCATCCTAATATTATTGGATCTACTTAACATTCTTAATAAAATATTAAGACACAAGTAAAGGTGAAATATAATATTATCTGAAACAATAAAAGTTGAAGTGATGACATCCTAGTTTAAACAAGAACATTTACTTGAGGTTGAATAAAAATATGATCAAGAAATTTATTAAAGATGGGAAATGGATTGAGGCAAGCGAGGGATTTTCGGAATATAATAAGTCATTTATCGCTGTGGATATAAATGTGGTTTAAATCGATAAATTGGAAATTGATTATAGAGGCAATTTTAAATTTTAAGCTTTCTTACCAAATAATATTACTATTTAAAAAAAATAATAAATTATATATACTTCTCAAGGCTTATTACTTTCGTTTAATTAGATCTAATTTAAAAAATAATTCTCTTGAGTTTTTTAATGAAATATGGAGAAGAATTAGTTATATATTAAGCAATTTTTGATTCTTTAAACTAAAAATACATAATTTCTTGTTAGATATTTTTAAGAAGGCAAATTTAATTCAAGTATTGTTAGCATATAAATTCTCTATGAATAAAATCTATAACAGCCTTGAAAAAATAAGATAGATTATAGTAATAGATGATTTAAATTATTAGCTAAATAGATAATTTGCAAAATGAAGGGTAGTAATACTTATAGATCTATTGGGCAAATACTTTATCATAATTTTAATTGGAGAGCTTAACGTTGTACTGGAATTACTACTGAAAATTCATAAACACCTTATGAAAGCTATTGTATGTCAATTTATTTTTATCCTTAGATGAATCATCATTTATCTAAGATAACTGAAATAGAAAGCAGATGGTACCATCAAGTTAGTTTTTCACTCAAATACTTTGTTATTTCTCAAAGTGATTACTTGACTGTTTCATTACTTTTCAATTAGAGGTAATGTTCTTAAGTAACATGATTTCCCTTTATATTCTGTATTTTATCACTTATTAAATAAATTCACTTACCCTCTAGTTTAAAATACTTTACCATTTGTTTTGCTTTATATTTCATTTTTTAAAAATGATAAGTAATTGGCAATATAAAAAAGAATCTATCATAATATTGAAAAATGTAGAAATAGATGAAATTTATTTAAAAGTCTTTTATTTTATATTTTGGATAACAATTTATTNAAAATGACATATATCAGACGTATTCCATCCTAATATTATTGGATCTACTTAACATTCTTAATAAAATATTAAGACACAAGTAAAGGTGAAATATAATATTATCTGAAACAATAAAAGTTGAAGTGATGACATCCTAGTTTAAACAAGAACATTTACTTGAGGTTGAATAAAAATATGATCAAGAAATTTATTAAAGATGGGAAATGGATTGAGGCAAGCGAGGGATTTTCGGAATATAATAAGTCATTTATCGCTGTGGATATAAATGTGGTTTAAATCGATAAATTGGAAATTGATTATAGAGGCAATTTTAAATTTTAAGCTTTCTTACCAAATAATATTACTATTTAAAAAAAATAATAAATTATATATACTTCTCAAGGCTTATTACTTTCGTTTAATTAGATCTAATTTAAAAAATAATTCTCTTGAGTTTTTTAATGAAATATGGAGAAGAAT